TTCCTCACTGACAAGATTATAAACTTAAAATCTCATCAAAAGTACTGAGACTAATCAAACTATGTTTCCAAGTAGCTTATTGACTAAGCAAGAAAAGCTATTGGTATTAAATTAAACTGCGTTTGCAGAAGTTTTAAAAAGTCAAAAGAACAAGCCTCTCTGTGAACAAATACGATGAGCATACCAAAGAGAGGAAGAGGGAGGATACAGTATTTTAATATCTCATAATCTCATACTATGACTTATTAATTTTGGTAAGGCTGAAGAGTAAAAAAAATAGGTGAAATTAACTATATTGCTTACCCAACATAACCAAAATATCTTTTAAACAAGTTATCGATATAAAAAATTAAGTCTTTAAAATCCAATGTGTACCATACACTTGTACGACATCCCAAGTTGGATCCTAAGCTGTTTTGGGGACACACCTGTCAGTGCTCAGGGCTTACTCCTGGCTCTGTGCTCAGGGAACTAACTCGGGTGCTGGGGATCGAACTTGGGTTGGTTATGTGCAAGGCAAGTATCCTACCCATGATCTTCTCTCCAGCCTCTGAATGCTACATTTTTGAATATACAAGTGAAATGTAGTCATACCAGAACAATGTTATGTTTAATAGAAAGCAATTTATATGACTTGTTTTATATAAATACTAAAAGCTAAATTTTAAAATTCAGTTTCACATAAGAATTAGCAATGTGGGGCTGGAGCGATAGCACAGTGGGCAGGGTGTTAGCCTTGCAAATGGCCGACCTGCGTTCTATTCCCAGCATCCCATATGGTCCCCCAAGCATCACCAGGAGTAATTCTTGAGTGCATGATCCAGGAGTAACCGCAGTGCATTACTGGGTGTGACCCAAAAAACAAAAAAAGAATTAGCAACGTTACTTACTACAAGTATGCAGTAGTCACATATACTTAGTTGCTACCATAATGCACAGGACAGATTTAAAATATCTGCTTATAATACACTAATATACAGTTCATGTTCTATAATGCCACTATACATTATTCTGATGTTTTCTAAAAACAGTGCTGCGCTGTACTGTCCTCCCATTGCTCATCGACTTGCTCAAACGGGCTCAGTAACGGCTCCATTGTGAGACCTGTTGTTACTGTGTTTGGCATATTGAATACATCACGGGTAGGTTGCCAGGCTTTGCCATGAGGGTGAGATACTTCTGGTAGCTTGCCGGGCTCTCCGAGAGGGAGGAATCGAACCCAACTCAGCTGGGCTGGCCGCATGCAAGGCAAACGCCCTACTCGCTGTGCTATCGCTCCAGCCCTAAAAATAGTAATGTTGAATAATTTGCATATAGACGTGGGCTAAATAGTTCTTTCCTGTGCAAATAGATCCACAAGATCTACTCTTTAACAAAATTGATTTTTTTAATTTAATTTTTTAATTGAATCACTGTGAAATACAGTTACAAAGCTTTCATAATTGACATTGCTCTACGGTTTGGAAACCTGCCTCATCTGCTGGGGGAGAAGGTAGTTGGGATAGAGAAGAGATTGCTAAGTCAATGATGGTTATAGGGATAGCTCAGGATGAGAGATGTGTGCTAACAGTAGATAACAATGATGGCCCCTCAGTATCTATATTGCAAATCACACTGCGCAAAAGTAGAGGGAGAGTAAGAAGGAAAGTGCCTGACATAGAGGGTGGGGTACAAGATAACTCTTGACCTTTCTGAATATGCCATTTCTTACATTGGGAACTAGAGGCAAAACAATTTTACTTTTCATTCAAATCCTCCCAACACCATGATTTTAGAGACAGCTGAATCCTAAACAACTGCTTGATGAGCTCAGAATTCAGTTTATTCCATGCAAGAAGGATTTTGGGGGGGTTAATTTTATTTTTTAATGAGACAATCTCACATAGTAGTATGTAAACAAACACAAAATACTTCCTCAATAGCAAGTTGCTCTCCTTTCCCCCATTCTCCAACATTAACATCAATGAAAATTAAGGAAAATAATTTTCTCAATAGGGGGCCCTGCATGTTACTCACCCTAGTTTGATCCCTTGCACCAAACAGGGTTCCTCCAGCACAGCTAGTCAGGAATAATCCCTGAGCAAAACCAGTGTGGGCCATCTCTCACCTCAAACAATCCTTCAATATACATTTTAAAAATTGCAACCAACTCACAATATTATTGTGAACTTAGAGGTTTCCATTAAAGATGCAGTTTTTAGTTTGTTATTGTAGATCGGGACAGGGAGAGAAAAATCAGATATGCATCCGTTGTGTGTGGGAGAGGCACACTGGCCACATCCAGCAGTTCTCACAGCTAATTCCTAGCTCATGCTCAGGGATCACTCCTGGCAGGGCTCTGGGATCATATGGGGTGTCAGAAATCAAAACCTAGATAGCCACTTGCAAGGCAAGTGCCCTACCTGCAGTACTATCTCACTGGCCCCTGATTCTCTAACTTTTGCCCGAAACCTCTACTCCTACCTATCTGGTAGTTAACTATCTGGTAGTTAAAAGATTTCAGCATTGGAGAAATATCTCTACCCCTTTTTAAGGGTGAGTAAGAATATTCAAGAGTTACAGGCCTAATACCTATAAAGGTGCCTTGGACTAGATTTTTGAAAGGAAAGGAAATTCTGAATATAACCAATGCCCTCAAGTATCTTGTAAAATAATCTTACCCATACCCACTGAACCTGGTCTCATTTTAAACAGTCACCTTAGTAATACAAAATTAAAAAGCATGATCTAAACCACGATTTTACTGCCCTGGTAAACATAATGCATTATTGTGAAAACAATAATTAATTTTGAAGAGCTAACCAATTTAAGAGAAAATCCCTATTTAGGGGCATGTGGCAGAGCTAGGGATGGAACCAAGGGCATCACACATGTGGGGCAACTGCTCCACTACTAGGCAATAATCCCCAATAGTTCTAAAATCATAAAAGTCTCTCCCTAGTTACAAGCAATACCTATGCTCCCATGTTAACACAGTTTTTTCACCTACATTTCATTTACTCTTCACTAGATGTCTATGAAGTAGGAATCACTTTACAGAAAACTAAATGGAAGCAGAGATAGGAAGTGATTTACCAAACCATGTTTAGTAACTGGAAAGCACCATGAAATCCAGGTTTCCTAATTCTACATCAATTTTTCACTTAGATATCTTCTTCCCAATAGTCCCAATACTATAGTTTTTGGTTTTTTATTTTTTTATTTTTTGCTTTTTGGGTCACACCCAGCCGATGCTCAGGGGTTACTCCTGGCTCTGCACTCAGGAATCACTCCTGGCGGTGCTTGAGGGACCATATGGGATGCTGGGAATCGAACCCGGGTCGGCTGCGTGCAAGGCAAACGCCCTACCCGCTGTGCTATTGCTCCAGCCCCATGAGACTATAGTTTTAAAAAATATATCACAGCGGGTAGGGCGTCTGCCTTGCATGCAGCCAACATGGCCGACCCGAGTTCGATTCCTCCGCCCCTCTCGGAGAGCCCGGCAAGCTACCGAGAGTATTCGATATGCCAGACACAGTAACAACAAAAGTCTCCAATGGAGACGTTACTGGGCCCGCTCGAGCAAATCGATGATCAACGGGAGGGCCTTTACTTACTTTACTTACTTACTATTTCTCCTTCAGTAGCATAAAACATAATTAAAGTATTCAACCTCACTATGCCATATTTGTCTCTCCTGATAAGAAAACTTTTATAAGCTGCATTAACTCACAAGAAGTTTTTAACAAAATCAACTTTTAAAGTCATTGTTTTGAATATAACTGCCTCTTGGATAAATTGTATTTTATTGGGCCAGAGGGATAGTACAGCAGGGAAGGGGCTTGCCTTACACCTGGCCAATGCAGGTTCAATCCCCCAGTACCACATTATAGTTCCATGGACTCTGCCAGGAGTGAATCCCTGAGTGCAGAGCTAGGAACAACACCGGGTGTGGCACCTCAAATTTTAAAAAGTGTATTTTATTAATTATGCTTCTTTCACAGTATTGAGCTATAATATAACTAACACCAATCCCTAGAAACAACAGCCAAATCGGAAATTCAGGCCAGAGTCTCAAAAAACTACTCATTTGGTCAATGTATAAATTACTATGTCAGATGAAGTATTAGGGAAAAATAGCAATAGCAACAAAAAAACCTGAGGTGTATTCAGAAATAAAGAAATTTAAAACATTTGATTCACCTTAGAAATTTTTTGCACTGTTTGTGATTGATTCCCACTCTTCTTATAGTCACTATCACATATTAACATAAATTCTCTGTTTCTTACTACTGCTAAAAGACTATTTCATTTAATTCTAGGTACAGCAATCCTCAAAACAGTAAGGCCAAAAATTCACTTAAAACATCAAAACTGTTTGATATTGATGGCACCAGGAGACCTGGTGCTAAGTATAAACTCTAAGCCCACAACATATGCAACAAGCATACTGCCTTATAGAACTCTATTAAGGGGGCTCGAAGCACCAAAATATAGTTAAAAAGTGGATTTCACAAAACTGAATTCTTAAATTCAAATGCTCTTGTCAATTTTAAAATAGAGAATAGTGTGGAAGAAATGTTTTGTTTTATTTAGTTATTTGCTTCAGTTGTTATTTTTGCTGCTTTTTGTTTTTACAAGCTGTGCTGGGTCCAGCTCTTTGTGCAGAGAACCATATAGTAACAGGGATAGAACCTGGGTCTCCTGCATGTAAAGCATGCACTCAGCCTGTATATCTATCTCTCTGGTTCACAAAATAAATCTTTTTAAAAACAAAAAGGGATGAGGCCAGAGATAGAACAGCGGGCAGGGCACTTGCTTTGCAAGCAGCACTTAGGTTTGATCCCTGGCACCCCATATGATTCCCTGAGCCTCGCATGGGTGATCCCTTAGTGCAGAGGCAGGAAAAAGCCCTGAGCACTGCGGAGTGTAGCCCCCAATGCCAAAACAGAAACAAAAAACAAAAAAGGGAGGGAGGGAACCTAATATCAACAACTATAAAGTATCTTGAGCATTTTTACCCCTTCCAAATACGTTCATAGAAGTTCCAAATGCAGTAGTGATCTACAGTAGAACATGTTCTTTTTATCTAAAAAAAAAAAAAAAAGAATATAAAAATCTTATGCTGATGGGTAAGCATCATTTTGTTTATAACAGAGCTTCATCAGAAACACCATATATGAGAACAAAATGTGATACTTGTCAGAGAAAATATTACTTAAGTAATTTAATTACCAAATTGGAAAACTTTTAATGCAGTTTTTTAAACTGTTGAACTTGAGGCTAAGACAAATGCACTAATACATATGTAGATACCAAAAATGTTGGGAATTCTTATAGAATATTTAATTAAAATTTTATAGATATATTTTAAACAAACGAGATTATGAACAACCAGCATGTTTTAAATTCTGAGTAGCAATTCAGCTAAATTCAGAGGAACTCAGCTCTGAAAAGTAATAAAATAGGAGATGCTGAATTCTGGTTTAGTTAAAACATTAACTAGACAGACAATTTGGTGAATTAATTTCATCTTTTATGCATCTTATCTCCATCAATGTTAGAATTCTGGATTAAACCTTCCAGTTCTGTGATTATGAATAAAACACAACGAAGATTATTTTGCAGTATTATATCAGAAAAATAAAACTGAAGAACACATGTAGGATGCAAACTTAAAAACTCTGCTTTCCTTGTCACTTCACTCAGACTTTTGTGCTCATTATTATCTTTTAAAAACGTATTCTTTAAAAGTTAGGGCAAACTGATCTATTGTCGCCTTTATTTTCTATACAATACTTCGCCACACAATTTGCTAATTACTAATGCTAGCCTATCAGAGGATGCTACCAAGACCTCCACAACTGTTGATTCTACCACAGATTATAAAATATCTGCATGGTAACATTCACTTAACCTTATTTATATATTATCTATCTTTGCCACTTAAATAGCAGGAAAAACAAAACACAAAGAGACTCAGAAATGTTTCTTTGTGTCTAATTCTTTTGGTAAGAAGTCTACTGACTTACAAAAAATTCTGACTACTGTAACCCACTAAAACAATTAAAAGATCATTAAAAACATCTGATTCAAAGGATGGAAATCATGACAAATGCTGCCAATTCATAGGACCAAATTAGTAAAAATGGAAACTATTATAATGTCCATTTTAATTCAAATACTTTAGACTGCAAATGCAATCTTCCATCACCCATTTCACATTTCTATTACTAAGCTATGCCACTATATTAGAATTTTAGAATTTGGTCTTATGCACATGAACTCAATTATGACATGCTTCTTTCATTATTCCTAAATCACAAATTGACTCAAAACCCCAAAATGTTTCATGCATTCAATTTTTAAAAAGCATTAAAGTCACTGATTACTGGCAACCTGATGTTTATCAGTAAGTAAAGTACCGCTTTAAAGATACGAGTCTTCCATCGAGGGATGGACACTTGATCATTGTATAACTGAAACCCAAGCACAAAATTTGTAAGCCTATAACTATACCTCATGGTGTTTCACTAATAAAAAAAGAAAAAAAAACCTAACTTTACAGGAGTCAGGGAGATTGTACTAAGGGTTAGAGAACATGCCAGGCATGTATGTGTAAGGTCCTGAGTTAGATCCTGAGCACCTCACTGCACTCCACACACAAGCACCACAGAATGGGGCCCTAGTGGCCCCCAGCACAACGCAGGTCACAGTACTGCCTGGGCCCCTGAACACAGAGCCAGGAAAAAAAACCCTGAGCACTTATGGGTGTGACCCTAAAACATAACAAATTTAAAACCACTTGACCAGGGCCAAAGATGGCTCAAAAGGCATGTGCTCTGTATTTTAGAAGCCTGGATTCAAACCCAGGAACTACAGTCACTCCAAACACTGCCAGGGATCCCTAAGCACAGGAGCAACCCCAAGCACTAAATTGGGAGATAATCCCTGAACAATACCCAAACAGTACACCCAAATCACCCGGCCAAATAAACTATCACATTATTAAATGACTACTGTATTACTTGAGGGAAAACAATTTGTATTAAAACCCAAACATGCTGACAACCAGTGTTCCTACAAAGAAACAAAGACAAAGGTGACTGACTACATATATCTGGCTTGTCCTGAAGAGCAGTGTTTTAAATCTGTTCTGAAATAATCATTGTTTCTCTCAATCTTTTAATAAATTATATAGCCTGAATAAGTATACAGCAATCCTATATACAACTGACAGTAATTTTGGTCAACAGGAAAATAAAAACTATAGTCGAGTTAACTTATTTCTTCCTACAACCAAGTGAACAGCATGAGTAAAAAATATCCCTTTCTACTCCACAAATGTTACATCCTTGGGGAAGGGAGGCAAGTACACTAGTGATGGGCGTGGTGTTGGAATTATGTACCTGAAAGATCCTGATCAACAGTATTAAATCACAGAATCACAAGTTCCCAATCAAGCAAATTTTTTAAAAACAAGAACGGGGTCAGTGAGACGTTACAGTGGGTAAGGTGCTTGCTTGACACGCTGCCAACCCAGTTTCGGTCCCAGGCATCCCATACAGCCCCCCCTAACAACTCCAGGAGTGGTTTGGGGGTGTAGAGTCAGGAGTATCCCCTGAGCATCATGGCATGTGGTCCAAAAAACAATCAACCATTAAAAATAAAAACAGTGAACACAGTTTCCCAGAAAGTATGCTCATCACCATGTAAATTTTATAGCACCCAGCCTCCAGCTGTGAAATTAATGCAAGTGTTCCATGAACCTCTATGTGTGTGTACACTGTATATATTCAGGGGTATTTGTCTTAGTATAGTCAGGTGAAACTGTGACTGACTTTATCTGCAGGTGCATTTGAGATGAAGCACTAAAACATAAGGCAACTTAAAACAAAAATATCAACAATATATTTCAGGGAAAAGTCAAGTTCACAAACATATTCCCAAACTGTCCAAAATTGCCAAGTTTTGTATATCTAGGAATATATCAATTGATCAGGGAAAAAAGAAAAGAACTGCTTTAATTCCACATAGGAAACATCCATGTTCAAGATTGAGACAAAATGTTTTCCCTCCTATTATTATTTTAGAAAAAATACTTTATGAGTTGTCAACAATTTGAGATTATATCAACTAGATACTTGTTACATCAATGGGCCACAGGTTTTGAAAAATCTTTGTTATACAGAAATGTCAGAGCTAGACTTTAAAAAGAAAAACTTTCTCCCCATAGGAAGTGTCCCAAAATACTAGAACCTCATTAGTATGGGTTTGAAAGAGGACTCACTGTTTTCTTCTACTACCTTTCATTTATTTTCTTTACATTTCCAATCTAGAGAGCAATTAAAGTCTCCAGACGTTGAATTTCTGTGACTTCATTGTGACTTTGGCATCAGACAGACCTGGGTAAAAATGGGACTCTACCCCTTAATTGAGGATGAATGAACCCAAGTTACTTCTATTCTACAGTTAATATCCTCATTACCATAACTATCATCAAAGGAGTTAATAGCAACAACAGATTATGTATTTATTAAAACTTTTGATCTTATAGAAAAATGAAAACAATATAGAAAATAATATAAGATTATATTCCTGTATAGTATACTAGTATTTCACTTAGCTCTTCAATGAATATTTAAAATCTATACTAACCCTATTCTAACAATGATTTAAGGCTTCAAATGTCTATTTTGTTTTTCATCCTGTCCCACAGGGTACCAGTAAACTTCACACCTTATTATAAGAGGAAAATTTACAGATAAAGAAAGCACTAGTTCTTCTGAGTTACTTATAAACATTACCCTTTGAATTCCTAGTAAAAAATGTCACTCTTAGAATGCCCAACACCAACTAACATATTAAATAAGCCCATCCAAATTATAGGGCCTGCAAAACAGAAAAGTATTTTTAAACATGCATTCTACACATAAATCATCAGGAGACGCAACAAAAGTAAATTACCTGACTGTTATGACATAGTATTGTAATACAATAAACTGGATTTTAGTTTTCTTCACTTTCTGCTCTAGAAAAAAAAAAGAATCCATTATTCTTCCTCTTTTATGAGACATTTTCTTTGAAATAGACTCATAAAAAAAACAATCCTATGTATTTTACTTACACACATATACGACATAATCCCATCTATTTCTGTATTAGGATTAGAATATTATTTGGGGGGAATGAAGAGGTCAGAGGGAACCAAGAATTTTATACATTAAGCTTAAGATTTCACTTCAAGGTTGACAGCCATTTTATCTTTTAATATAAGCTTGCTTAAAATAGGCCCTCCCTTATCAGACCAGTAATTATATTCAGATTCTGACAGTTACTTTTAAGAACTTATTTGGCACATCATATTAGCCTAAGGCAAAAACTAAGTAGAGATCATTATCATTATGACATCTCAGGCAAAAGAATGTTTTAAGCACTTCCCAGCAAAAAAAAAGGTGTCCTAAAATTGTACTTTAAGCAGTTATATTTGGTTTCCTGGATAGTTAATTTTACAATCTAAAAAAGATTTGGTGGAGGGGGGCTATAATTTTGCCACCTGCCTGTCATCCAGGGCTGACATAAAATACGATAGGGGTCATATAAAGAGTTGTGTAATTACAAAGCGTCAAATGATTAGTAGTACGTTTATTTTTCCTCTGTCAGTCATCTAAAGTCACAGCAATTGACTGCAATCCAGAAAATGCAGGCTCCTTATTTCAGCCAAAAATTATTGTAGGGCCTTGCAAATGGTGGATATCCAATTCAAATGCCCTCCAAACAAAATTCTTAACGCCCCAAATGAAAGAGATCACGTAAATAACAAGCTTGCTAGAATCTCAGACTGCTGACTAACCTGTGGAATAAGTGTGGTGAAACTGTCTAGTGAAGGAACGTGGCTGTCTCCTCCATCTTGAAATTAATCAGCATAAGGGAAAAAGGGACGGAGTGTTCAGGAAGCAGAAGCCCAACCGGTTAATACTAGTTACTAAAGCTACGGCGTACGTGGCAGGTACCGCCCGCTGAAGCAGAGACCCTAAGGCTTTTTTCTTTTTTTTTTTTTTTGACTGGGGGAGGGGTTGCGTCGTAGGCGGAATGAACGCAAATGTAACTTGAAAATCTTTTGGCCCAATTCCCACCGTTTCCCAGGAAAACACGAACAAATATCCAACGTTTTCTCCCTCTGTCTCGGGGAGGAAGGAATCCTTGCCGTGGTGTCTGGCAAAGGATACACCCGGGTATTCGAGCTGAGGGGTAAACCACATTTGCCTTAGATCTATAGGGAAGATGTCACCGTGGCCCCAGGGGGCGCCTAACTGATAGTGCCCTGTGGAAGAGCTCAAAATGGTGTATTACAAACCCTGGGAAATCTGAAAGCTCAAGAGTTCCCAGCATTCGACTCGAGCAGCCCAACTCTCCACCCCACCCCCGGCCCCGACGCAACCCTTTCCCAAACCCTAGCCCCCCAAATAAAAGAGGGCGAGGTGGGGAGAAAAGCCTCCGAAGAATGCCAAAAAACACCTGAGACCAATAAAGGGGGAAAAATACCTCACGCCCGAGGCCAACACTCAAAATACGTCTCACCCGAATCCTAGAGGCTGTTGGAAGGCCCCGGGTTGGGGCCGGCGCCGCCAAGCAGAGGAAGCACTACCCGCCTCCTTCCCCTTCCTCAAAGAGACTGTCCACTACGCCGCACGCCCGACTAAAATGGCACCGGTGGCTACAGCCCCGAGCCCCGGCAGCAAGCTGCGCCCGGAGTCCCGAAGAGGCGCCGAGCCTCGGCCACGACGCGCCACACAGGCCATTTTGAGAGATCGCCGCGGCCAAGGTTCCGCCGTCTTCCTCCCTCTCCATCCATTTCTCACAAGATTCCCAGGGCTTCACTTACTCGGATTTTCTGACGGGAGGCTTGTCGGCGGCCTCCGCAGACACTTCCGAGCGCCTCCGCCGCCGCGGCCCTCGAGCCCGCCTGCGATGTTTCACTAGGGAGACCCGCCTCTGACCCAGCGCCCGCTCGCAGACGTTGCTCAGGCAGCCATTATCTTCCCCATTGTTACCAAGCAGCGACAGGAAATGACTGCCCACAACAGGAAGTGATGATGCCGTGTCCGGGCCGCAGTCACACTCCCAGGCCGCCAGCCAATCCGCGGCACTTTCTCGCAAAGGCTCGGCGGGAAGGGGAGGAGGCTCACCGGTGACGCGACGAGGCAGCTGAGGTCTGGAAAAGGAAAGCCTCGATGACGCCCACCATGTGACAGGCCCCACCCTCCGTCGCCATTTTGAATTGGGGCGAGAAATTCGCCTTCTGAGAATCGTGGGACCCTGTAGCTCTTCCCGATTTGAAAAGTGAGGGACTTTAAGATCTGACGGCTTGATAGGTTTTTCAGACAGCGAAGGCTGCGGTGTTGGTCCAGCCCGACGTGTATTCACGCAATTAGTCCAAATCGATTTACATAACATCCTTTTACTAAACATATTTTGACCGCCAACTATATGGCAGTCTCTGTTGTATTGGGGATAGAAGGGAAATTAAAACAGGCGGAGAGAGGCACATGGAGGGAGGGAGACTCCCGTTTGCAATGAATTTCGGGAAGGAATATAACCAAGATAGGATCTGAAGAAGGGTTCCTGTAGCCAGCCCCACGATTCACACTGGGGACACCAGCCCAAACCTTGAGGCTGAACCACCTCCCCGACCCCTCAAACTCCCGCCCTCAGCTTAACCCCACCCCTGACCTTGGAGATGATTCCCAGGAACTAAGCCCCGATAAACCTCTGAATGAAGTCAGCCCAAACACAGTAGGCTAGACCCCCTTAGGAGAGATGATTCAGCAGGAACAAAAGGCTGAATGAAGACAGATAAAAGCTAAAAGCTCAAAGTCCTTTCCCTTTCTTTGCAGCAGACTCTGCTAAGAAAACCCTTAAGCCAGGGCAACTTGAGGGGGGGAGTGGAAGGGCCTATAAAGTCAGCTCTGCAAAAGCCAGGGCTTTTAACTCCATGTGAGGAGTTGTCCACACCTTTTTCACTAGGTTGTGTAACTTCCCATTATTTTACTGAGACTCCTCTCTCTGGATAATCCACCATTCTCTCTTGAACGATTTCCCATTCTCCTCCCTTTTAAATAATTTCTTTTTGCTTCACCATTTGTTTTATGAAATCCCTTTCTGTGACAATAGGCATATTGAAGTAGGAAACCTGGGCTGGGGGTCAGAAGTGACTTTCATTTTCCTGTAAGGCACTGGAACCCACAAGGTAACTTGAGAACCACATTCCAGCTGGAGAACCATGACTCCAAGCAAATGCATGTCATAGGGACCTGTTCCCAGGTTGTGGGTCCTATACGCAGACTGATGGTTGTGTAAAATGGGGAATCACAGGGCCAGGCGGTGCAGGAGCTCATACAGACTTGTACATGTCCTGAGCTCCTTGAGCATTTCATTTGTAACATTGTAATGGGTCACGTAGGAGTGCAGGAGCTATCTCCTGTGACTACCCCCTCCTCTGGTTTCTCACGAGCCTACCAGCAGAAAGACCCAAAATCCCAATTCTTTTTGGTTGTTGACTTTTGGGGGTGCACACCCAGAGATGCTGAGGTTTATTTCTGTTTCTCCACTCAAGAATTGCTCCTGGCAGTGCTTAGTGGACCATATGGGATGCTGGAGGAATGCATTGCAAGAGCCCTTACTGTCTCTTTGCACCCTCCCGTCCCCCCTCCAAATCTCAATTTTTATAGGTATTTATATTATACTTTGGGGAGGGGCAAAGTGTGTGTGAGTGAGAGACAGAGAGAGAGAGAGAGAGAGAGAGAGAGAGAGAGAGAGAGAGAGAGAGAGCACACACGTGCCTGTGTACACATACTGCAGGCTTAGACTATACCTAGGATTAGTTGTTGATATCTGGTAAAGAGGAAAACCAGGGAAGGGAGAGTGACCGTCCAGGAGGGGCAAAACTTTTAATTTTATGGAGTTGTCATTTTCTCTGAGACAGTAACTTGAAAAACTTGAAAAACAATGGTCAGTGAAAAGGGGTGGGAAAATCAGATAACAGCAGTTGCAAAAGGGTAGTTAAAGAAGACCTTTAGTAGATAGATAGTAAGGCCTGAAGGAACTTAAGGAATGAGCCACCCAGTATCAAACTCTCATTTTCAATTAAGGAAAAAAATTATCCAAGTTTTTAAGGTGTTTTAAAGTTTCTTTTACTCATTTTCCTGGTTTTTTTTTTCATTTACATGTAACAAACATTCCAGTACCTACCATTCTTAATATTCCAACAAACCAAAGTGCACCTATCTCTACAATTTTATGGGGGCTTTCATAAGATTTTGCCTTCATAATGCAAGTCTCTTCTCAATTTACTCATAATGAGGAAAGGTTTCCCTGACTTATCTTTTAAGTTAGCTAAAATAACAGTGGCCAGAGTGCTAGCACAGAGGATAGGGCATTTGCCTTGCACATGTCTGACTCTTGTTCAATCCTCGGCACCCCATATGGTTCCCTGACCCTGCCCAAAGTAAGCCTTGAGCACTGCAGGATGTGACCTCCAAACCAAAAAATAACAATAAACAAAAACAAAACCCAACTTTGCCAGTATATTACCTGCTTACTTTTCTTTAAAATGCTTTATCTGAGAATATATACACACACATATATGTATATATGTATAAATATATATACACACATATATTTTTCCTCACCATGACCCTTGAAAAATAGCAGCAAACCACTTTATTTTGTTCACTTTGGGGGTTTTTAGTTGTTATTTTCTTGTTTTGGTGTGCCACACCCAGCAGTGCTAGGGCTTGCTCTTGGCAGTGCTGGGGATCAAACTTGGGTCAGCCAGGTGCAAGACAAATGCCTTACCTGATGTGCTATATCTCTTTGACCCCTGCTTCACTGTTGTATCTCCAGTTAGCTCAAAGTAGACTATAAAATGTTTTTGAAAGAATATGCTCTTCTGCAAGATTGTCATTCCATCAGCCCAGAATGTATTTCATTTCAGGCAATTAAAGCAATATTCCTCATGCTATGTCCCAAAATACTTATCCTTGCCACTTGTGAAGGTATGTATAAATAATTTTAGTGCTATATCTCTACTCAGTTTTTGTCAGGTATTTTTTTGTTTTGGGGCACACCTGGTGGCACACAGGGCTTACTTCTAACCTTCTGACTCTAAACTTAGGGTACTACGTAGTTGTGGGATTGAACCTGGGTCAGCCACATTCAAGGTAAGTTCCTCATCCTCTATATCATCTCTTCTGTCCTTACTCAGTTTTTCTCATATGTTACATAATCATGTACTAAAATTTACACTGGTAATCTGTAAATAGATTAATGACTGTTATTAAACCTGATATTTGATTATGACAATATCATTAGCCACTTATTTTGTAGTTGTGGAAACATGGATACAATAATGTTAAGGTTTATGCTTTTGGAGTACAAAATTACTGTATCTTCACCACCATCATAGGACCAAAGACCACTGTCTTTATGTCGCTTTCACATTAGACACTTCTTGATATTTTCTTTAGGTGAATGTGGTTTAGAGTTAAATATAAAATCATAAAAACGATTTTACTTCTTGAGCACCACCAGGAGAAATCCCTGTGTGCAGAGCAAGATATAAACCTTGACCATCGCTGGATGTAGCTTAAAGCAAAATTTTATTTTCTTTTTCTTTTTTTGGGTCACACCTAGCGATGCACAGGGGTTCCTCCTGGCTCTGCACTCAGGAATTACTCCTCACAGTGCTTGGGGGACCATATGGGATGCTGGGACTCAAACCCAGGTTGATCACGTACAAAACAAATGCCCTACCCACTGTGCTATCGCTTCAGTCCCAAAGCAAAATTTTAAAAATTAAATTAAATTCAATATGAAGACTAAGGGGTAATAGTGGTTTATGATTTTTTTCATTCATTCATCATCCTGTTATTCGTCGATTGCCTCGAGCAGGCCCCAGTAACGTCTCTTTCATCCTAGCCCTGAGATTATATTCAAGGCTCTTTAGGAGAATGAGACCCATCATTGTTACTGGTATTTGGCATATTTGGTACACCACAGGGAGTTTGCCAGACTCTGCCCTGTGGGCAGGCTACATTCGATAGCCTGCAAGTTTGTCCAAAGTAGTGGTTTATGATAAAAAGTCAAATGACAAATTGTCCAAAATTCCTCATATATAATTAAAAAATTGACTGATATTACTAATTTATTTTAAATATTATGAATTGATATTTAAAAGATAAATAGCACAATAGTCTGTGCAAACCTTAAATCATGTTATGTTTGAATTGATAATTCAATGTCACTGTCCTCCCATTGTTCATCAATTTGCTGGAGCAGGCCCAGTAACATTGTGAGACTTGTTACTGTGTTTGGCATATTGAATACATCACGGGTAGCTTGCCAGGCTTTGCCGTGTGGGTGAGATACTCTCGGTAGCTTGCCGGGCTCTCTGAGAGGGGTGGAGGAATCGAACTCAGGTCAGCCATATTGGCTGCGGGCAAGGCAAACGCCCTACCCATTGTGCTATCGCTCCAGCCCTGATAATTCAATAAAGAAGAAAATATTTGAAAAATAAACAGAATAGTATGTTCAACCTAAATGATAATCAGGAATAAAATAAAAAGTGTAATTTCTCTATTTTGCCTCTCAGACCATCAAAGATGAAAAGTTTGATGATTTATGGATTGTAAAGGATCCTATGAAATAGGCACACTTGATATTATAGATACAAATTTATACAACAATTTTAAGCAATTTTACAATACATATCAAAGTATTAATATCCACATACAGCAGTTTAAGAAAAAGAAATGACCACTTTGTGATGATGTTAATCATACTGAGTTTTAAAGTACTGAAATATTGATACAACATTTTAAAAAAACATTTTAATACTGCTTAGTTAAAAACAGTATATATACATAATGAACTCCATAGTCTATAAAAATAAGCAACTAAATCTGGAAATACATTTATGTTACATTTTAAGAATAAAAATTTATAAAATGGCACATATCATATGCATACTTTTTGTAC